GCACAAGGGTCCATTCACCCTGCTGCTTTTCACACCCATGGATTCCCTCCTCACATCCTCACCAGCCCCCTCCATGCCATTTCACCCCACCCTCCCGAGGGCATGTTCCCCCAGTCATGTGTGAGATGTCGCTCTCGCCAAACATTCCCACCGAAAAACAGAAATGCACTCCTCCATACAGGCATGCTAAACAGAAAATCCAGGAATAAACTCCCATTTCTTATCCTCCTCTGACTCATTATAAATAAGCCCCGGAGCCCTTCTTTTTTGGTTCCTCCAAACAAACACGTCTCCATAGCCTCCACATCCACACACACGCTTTCAGAACAAGTGACACGCAGCAGGACGAGGCGTCGAATCCATTTTTGTCACCCCCGTCTGCTTTCTGAGCGCTTCTGACATGCACATGCCCAAAACCCCACAATCATACCCATGGACAGCAAAGGATGCGCCTGCCATGAGGAGCGAGGGGAAAGAGAAAAGATGTCAAATCTGTGAAGAGTCTGAGACTAGGAAGGAATATCTGCTCTGAATCAGGTCTAGTTCATGTAAAACCTGAATGCTGGATGGAATTCTTGCTCAGACAACTGTCACCTGTCATGTTAGGTCTTTTCTTTTTATTCCTGATTCCTTTTAGGAATCAAATTCCTCCACTTAGGAGAATAAAGAAAAAACGAGGAACGTTATCCGTTTGAGTTGTTCCTGTACAGTCTGGTGTCTCTCTCTCTTTCTTTCTGTTCACGGCTGCACACTGTGGCAAAGACATTAATGCAGCCCGCCGTCTCCACCACCACCACCACCCATCCGCCCGCCCCCCTGCTGCCACAGGTTAAATGCTTGATCCAGAGGAGAGAAATCCTGCAAACGTTCAGCAGCTTCCTGTTCCTTGCTGCACAAGGCTCTCTCCCCTGAGCTGAGGATGCTCTCACTAATGAGGGCATCTGGGGTGTGTTTCATTACACAGCTGTGCTCAGCTCCATGGCCTAAATGGCTGAGGGGTGGCGTGAGTGGTGGCTGATGTGCAAGATGGAGCGAGAGATTTAATGTTTTCAGACACAGACCAGAATAGGGTGTCGCTCGTAACGCATGCGGCGTTATGGAAAGCTAACTTAACTAAACCTGCAAGCAAGCAATTGTGATAACTGGTAATCAGGCTCTCACATCACTAATGAGATATCGTGCCCCACTCACTCAAGGGTTTTCCAGAATGAACTGCCTGGACGTCAAATACAGAAACTGTTTCATGTTCTGAAGCAGCAAAGGAGCACCAGACCATCACGCTACCGCCACCATTAGGGCTGGGCGATATATCGATATTTTTAAAATATCGATAAATTTTTTACCAAGATACAAGATGACTTTATATCTTTGCATCGATATAACTGGTCAAACTGCTTTGCTAGCGATTAGCCGCTATGCTAGCGACATGTTGCTCCATCTCTAAGCGGTTATTACGTGTATTCTCACAAGTTTGCTCAATCTGAGAGCCTCTGGGTAAACGTGCTGCTCTAAACTTTGCATTTGGCATCCTGGTTTTTAATTATTTGAGGACAGCGGAGTTCTGTTTATCCATCCTGCGCGTGTGGAGCCGGAGAGATGAGCCAAACACCTCCCTCCCCATGCATTCAGGAAACATCTACGGATAGCCGGAGTGGCCAAATTACCTCAAACGTATTGTAAGGGTTTGAATAGTAAACTATAGGGTTAACGTTTTATTTTGAAGGCGAGCTCAACGGGTGAAAAATGTTGTTCCGGGTTTTTCCGCTCTGGTTTGCTATGCTAGTAAATACTCCATTACGAGCGATTCTGTTGAAAAAGTTAAGAGTTTGTAAGGCGTGGGTTACGGCGACAGTAGCCCGAAAATAATACTCATAAAAGAGCAACCAGAGACTCTGAGTCATTACAGTAGAATCACTGATATGAGCCAACACCGTTAGACTCCAGCCATGTTTGCCCTGATAACTAATGACTCCATGGTGTGTGTGTGTGTGTGTGTGTGTGTGTGTGTGTGTGTGTGTGTGTGTGTGTGTGTGTGTGTGCGTGCGTGCGTGCGTGCGTGTGTGCGTGTGTGTGTGTGTGTGTGTAGCAGACAGCTGTACCAGTGTTTCTAAAGCTCAGACTGGTAGAGAATAGGCACTAAGGTTAAAGTTTGACAAGAATCAATACATTTTCATGCATTTAATCTACTGATTCAAGTTTATAATTTCTCAGGACAGCTCGAAGTGAGTTAACGTGTAAATATTTTACAGGAGGAAAAATATTGAGATATACAGTATATCGGATATCGGAATTCAGCTAAAAGATATGGAGACATAAGTTTTGGTCCATATCGCCCCGCCCTAGCCACCATGTTTGACTGTTGCTACAATGTCTTTGGAGTATTCCTTTTACACCGCACGGAACGGGACACTAACCGTCCAGAAAGTTCCACTTTTGCCTAACCAGGCCAAAATATATTTTCCCTACAGCCAAAAGATCATGAAAATGGTTTTTATTTTTGAAACATAATTGACTTTTCTGTTACCTCCTTTGATTCCCTTTCTTCTTGTTGAATCATGACCCTAACCCTAACCAACGTAGGCCTGCGGTATGTTTTTAGCTCCGGGTTCTTTTCTTCTCAGATTCCTCTAGAACAGAACACGTTGTACTGCTTTTTGAGATCGTTTACCAACCTTCCTTTTGTCAGAAGGAATTTATTTCTGAACTGTAAAAGATTAGATGTGGATTGTTGTTAGTCACCATCACACACTGGTGAAATTACATCTCTGCATTTGGCCCATCCCCCGTGGGGAGCGGTGAGCTGCAGCAGTGGCTGTGCTCGGGAACTATTTGGTTTAAATCCAACTCCTTAAAACGAGTGAAGCAGAGAGGCGTTGGGTTCCATTTTTTGGGTCTTTGGTATGACCCGACCAAGATTTGAACCCCGACCTCCCAGTCCCAGCGAGGACGCTCTACCACTATGGCACTGAGATGGTGAGTTGTTCTATAACAATGGGAAGAATTGCATTACATGTTACTTTGGATAGCAAATTTTCTTGAATTAACTAAATTACATAAAACTGCATTTTATATTTACTTCTGTCTGTAGGATATTGAAAATTGTTGCTGTCGTGAAACATTCAAATATGACATAAAAAACTGAAAAAATCTGTAAGGAGCAACTTTTTCACGGCACTATAAGTTTCTCTGCACTTCTCAGTAAATTTACTTTGATGGAGAATCCACAATTCAGCAAAAGCTTTGGGTGAATGTCCATAAATCTACTCCAGTAATGTTGCACACATTGCTTCCTTTCCAATCCAAAGCTCATAACTGGCTCTTGCAAGAACTGTTGCAACCGCATTACCTGGGAAAAAAACGGAAAACTGAAAAATTCTCAAAGCAGACGAGTTTTCTCAAATCCAAAGAGGCTTCAAAGTGGAAATGTGGTCTCTGGGCGTTGGAATGGAATGCCTGTCACACACACACACACACACCGAGGTGCAGAGCGATAGACACACTCAGTTGTCAAAGGTATCTCCTGGAAAGAAAGTGTGCGACTTCCCACAAGTGAGAGAGAGTTGAGACAAACGTGACTGAAAAGCCTCAAGGGCGAAAAAACATGTCGGCAGAGCACAAAGAGAGGAATAGATGCAGGGTTAGAAGAGAAAAGGCTAGAATGACGTTTGTTTGGCAAAAACTCTGACTGTTGTTTAGCTGGCATATATGATGGCACACATTATCACCCACAGCAGGGGAGACGCATCCAGACTTCCCGAGCCAGAGAACAAGGACGATGCTACTTCCACCTAAGCCTGATGGTTGACGGCTATTTAAACATTGTTTTCTTGTAAATGTGATCACAAAAACATTACGATGAAAATGGACTGCTTTGCGTGTAAGCTTTAATTTTCAGATTTCTGCATGACGCACACTTCCGTCCAAAGGCCACACAAAAAACGTTAGAGCAAAGGTAAACGCATGCAACCGATGATCCTCAGTCACTGTCTTTGGGACAACTTCTGACATCATCCTTTCACAAGACGCTCCAGAAAAACGTAACAAACTCCTTCAAATCTGTGAATTATACTTTTTTGTTGAACCGAATAGAACGTTAGCGAGTAGATTAGGCTACAGGAAGATGCACTGTGATCACAACTAAACAGCACAACTCTGGCACCCACTGGTGCGTATTGGCACCCGTAGTCTCCTTAAAATGTAAACTTCCCACAGGAGGAATGCCGGTGAAAAGTTTCTAAATTTACCCAAAAATTGTGCATTTTTTCCAGTTACGATTCAGGCTCCCAGTGTTGCAGGCATGCTTGCACACAAACAATAACACGGCATCAATACACAAAAACACGCTATGCATGGACCCAAACTGTCATTTGGTCTATTTGTTTAAAATATGCACACTTACAAAATAATGTGTGAGTGCTGCTGAACTGAGAGGACATTTGGGCTTCTTCACAAAGTTCTGAATGTTCTTTTCACATCTAAGGTTGAAGAAAACACAAGAATAAAATGACTAAGGTTGAGTAAACAGGGTTAAACGCTCTGGCAGATGATTCTCAGATGAGTGTTCTGAGGATTTCTCTCAAAAAAATGACACATTTGTGGGGTTTAAAGGTTTTTTTAACCTTAGGAAGGACAAATGTGGTGTGATCTGTTGGGATCTTCTTGCTCTGCCTGCTTCCTACCTCCTAATGACGAGAGACGCATGTGATCCGCTTTTAAACGCCTAGCTGTAAAACCGGACCTCATCTGGCAGCAGCATTTTAGACCCTGCTTTGGCTTTTCCGTCACCTTGCGAGCACGCAGAGGAAGGAAAACAAGTCCCACGCAACAGCTAAAGGGAAGATTGTCGATCAACAGTCGCGCTGCAGGAACAGGTCGATCTGAGCGATCAGCGCGTAAAACTGGGTTTTCCTCCGACGCATGGAGCTCCTGATGCTCTTTGAGCCTCAACCACGAGCAGAACAATTACCAGACACCCAGTAGAACCAGCTCCGAACACTTACAGGCATATGTCATGGAGAAGCTGTTTCCCAATTTGACCATATCCACCTGCGGCACCAGCTTGGGGATGTCCTGGTGGTGAGACAAGGCGAACCGGAACACCTCATATTCATGCGAGTCGGTGGGGAACAACCCTCCTGTTGAGCAGAACAGAACCGGGGAGTTGGGTTCAGTGTTCGAAGTCAGTGGAAAAGCAGGACACACACGCGCGCGCGAGCACGCACACACACACACGTGCATGTGGAACGTGAAAGGAGATAAAGTTGAGGAGAGTGGTGGTTTGTGTTTCTGCGCATCTCTCACCTATATTGATGTTACTTGGGAAACTCGAACCCGAACCCAAGCATATCCCCAGTAAACTGGTGTAGAGGATGGCGAAGATCCGCTGCATATTTCCTGTTGCATTGGCGAAGAAGGGAAAAAGAGCCGAAATCCACGCATATGGTTTGTCCGTGTGTGTGTGTGTGTGTGTGTGTGTGTGAGTTTGTGCGTGCGGAGTCAGGTCCTCACCGCTGGGATAATAATAAAACAGCCTACGGTTTGATGGAGCAGCATCCGAACCGACGCGGATTCAGCAGCGAGACAATGAGCGCAATGGCGAGAGAAGAGGCGCCTCTCTCTCTCTCTCTCTCTCTCTCTCTCTCTCTCTCTCTCTCTCTCGCTCTCTCTCTCTCTCTCTCTCTCTCTCTCTCTCTCTCTCTCTCTCTCTCTCTCTCTCTCTCTGATGACGCTCTGCTCTAGAAGACGGAGAAAGACTTCAGCATCAACAAGCACGCTGCAAGAAATAATGCCCATCTCCAAAAAGTGTCCACACTCATTTCATTCGATTTTGTCTCATTTATAAATTACTTCCAGGAAAAATAAATGTCGGACGCATGTGCAACAAGCCGAACGCACAAATACGCACTAGGAAAATTATAGGTTGAGCCCAAATGATGCTTTGCGCAAAGAAGAAATAGGCCTTTCTCATTCTGTGAAAGACTCGCACTTCCATATAAAAGAAAAAGAAACATTTTCTCACTGATTACTTGTCTAATGACTTGCAGAATGGAGAGTTTTTTTTTGAGCGTGCACACTCAGAGTGCATGCAACGTCTCTCGGGAGACGCACGGCTTATTATTCAGAATACATCCGTTCACCTCTGCTGCAGAAAGTTTATTATAGCAGCACTAGGCTTATTGCCAACCCCCCCCCCCCCCCCCCCCCCCCCACACACACACACACACAAACACGCGCGCGCACACACACACACGTCTCATATTTTTACAGTGAAGAGAAAGGACTTAGAACCAGTTCTGGAACCAGCCAGTCCGGGCGATCCTTTGTGGTATCAGGTTCTGGTGTGATGTAAATAATATATACAATCACCTGTAGAGCGCAGGTGTGTTAACAAGGGCTGTGTTCCTCCCTGCAAACCCTCCTGTGTTTTATCAGTAATTATGCTAATGAGCAGAAGTTAATGTAAAATGGAATGCAGCCCTTTGTAGTGCCTTCCTCACACAATTGCTGTGAAACAGGCTCAGCTGTCATGGTTCTGACTAATCAGCCGTCCTAATATATTTATTTATCAGTGTCAAATTCAAACCATTGTTTCCTGCTTCAAGTCGTTTTTCTGTGTGATTCACAAAATCTTTTAATTTAGTAAACATTCATCCTGGATTTCTTTTACAGCTAAATTGGCTCTAACTCTGCAGAACACACTTTCAGATCCGACTAACACAGTTTTGCATTTCACAGATGTTTCCTGAATAAAATACTTTTCTGACAATTCTGTAACTGTCATGGTCTGTGTCTGTGTCTCTTTGTGTTCCTCTCGTGTCCCCTGGTCTTCAGCCCTCCAGATATTCCCTCTCAGGTCCTGTGTTCCTTCAGTCTCCCCACCATAATTTCCATAGGTCTATTATTCCAGTTTTGTGTGTGTGTGTGTGTGTGTGTGTGTGTGTGTGTGTTTATGCCCTCCTACCAGCTAGGTGTGTGTGTGTGTGTTTATGTCCTCCTCCAGCTAGGGGTGTGTGTGTGTGTGTGTGTGTGTGTGTGTGTGTGTGTGTGTGTGTTTATGCCCTCCTCCAGCTAGGTGTGTGTGTGTGTGTGTTTATGTCCTCCTCCAGCTAGGTGTGTGTGTGTGTGTGTGTGTGTGTGTGTGTGTGTGTGTGTGTGTGTGTGTTTATGCCCTCCTCCAGCTAGGTGTGTGTGTGTGTGTGTTTATGTCCTCCTCCAGCTAGGTGTGTGTGTGTGTGTGTGTGTGTGTGTGTGTGTGTGTGTGTGTGTGTGTGTGTGTGTGTGTTTATGTCCTCCTCCAGCTAGGTGTGTGTGTGTGTGTGTGTGTGTGTGTGTGTGTGTGTGTGTGTGTGTCCTTTCCCAGTTAGGTCTGGTGTCCTCTCCTGCTCCTCCTCCCTGATTAGTTATCACTTTCACCTGGTTCTCTCCCCTCACACCTGCAGCTCATCATCCTCCCATTATGCCCCAGTGTATTTAAGCCCTGTCTTGTCTCGGTGTCTTGTCGGTCCATTGTTGTTTTGCATGTCAGCGTTTTCTGGCGCTCTGTGTGAGCCTTTTTATCTCGTCCCCAGACTTTGTGCTCTAAGTGAGCTTTCGGTGTCCAGTGCTCCAGGACTTTTGGATTTTTGGCTCGCAGCCTTTTGGATTTATTTTTGTTGTCATCCTACAAATAAAAGGATTTATTCTTTACATCAACTCCTGCCTCGAGTCATCCTGGGTATCTGCATTTTTGGGTCCTAACCATCCCCTTAACGTGACAGTAACGAGATAATTAAGGGAACTCAAACTTAAAGGGTTTTACTCAAGAAGCATCAGAAACATGATCTTCCAACTGGTTTGTTGCAAGGTTTAAAATGACATAAACTTGTGTGTTTTTATTCTGTTCCATTTCATCCTGGTGTGTTGTTTTACCCACTGATGTGAGCCATCTATCAGTTTGTTTTATCTTGTTGGCAAGTCTCATGGGGATGGAGGTTTTTACAACAAACACAGCGCCTTAGGCGAGTTACACCAAAGACAGGTAGCTGGTTTATCACAGGGCTAAAACACACACACACACACACACCTGCACATTTTGCTCACGGCTTACTCACCGTCTGCGTTCGAAGTTTTATGTAGAACCATTTCAGTTTTTGGACTTTCAGAGGAAACCAAAGCTCCTGGAGACAGCAAATGGAGGAGATGCAAACAACAGGTCAAAGGTTACAACGAACCAACAACCTTTTTTTCAGCCACATTATTACAGTTCCTAAACATTTGTCCAAACAGAAAGCGCATTTTCAAAACTCTTTATTTGATGCTTTTTAGCCGTCCCGTTCACACATTTTATGTCATTTTCACACAAAAAGCAGTTAGTCAGCATGTTTCTACAAAGCTTACATTTTCTGAACAGATAAGCTACACCCACCACCAGAATTACAGATCAGTTTAAGTTGTATTTACTCATGGAAACACACAGCACTTACAATTAAACAACCGTAGCTAGGGATGGGTACCTTTGATATTTGAATCGATCCGGTACTAATTCCCGGTACCTACGAATCGATACCGGTACTTAACGGTACCAATTTTCGATACTTTTGAGTGTTTAATATTTTTAATTCTCTTTTATAATTAAATATATATTTTTCTCAATATATAACCATATTTGATAAATATCACGATAAATAACATACAACTGTTTGTATTTTAACATCGTCCTTGTAGTTTTATAAGCTGATAATTAAACTGAAGCAAACATCTTTACTGTGAACTAAATTTACTGTGTATCTTCATTCCTTTTGCCGTCGTTTTTCAATTGATTTTTCCTACTGGGAAGTTAGAATTTCCGAGGAGAAAGCGAAAGCACCATTAGATGATAACAATGGTGGCGTAGGAAGCTAACATATCAAGCTAACGTTATCTTAAACAGTTTATTTAACTGCTGGAGCAGATTAAAACGATGATGCCTCACACTTAAATCGTTGTCATTGGTTTCATCTTCACCCAATCACCCGTCGCATTTAGGAGAGTGAAGCCAAACTTTAGAGCTTGTTCATGTTCTTCTAGTCGGAAATTCGGAGCTCCGAGGAGAAAGTGAATGCACCAGTAGTGAAACGGAAGCTAACAAATCAAGCTAACGTTATCTTAAAAATTTTATTTTATTTACCTACCGGAGCAGATTAAGATCGTTGTCGCTGGTTTCATCATCACCCACTTACCCATCACATTTAGTGTAGTGGACCCAAGCTTTAGCTTTCGTTCTTTCTACCATGCTGCTCTGTTTACAACTGGCTCGCAGCTACCGATGACATAACGCTCTTGCGCATGCGCAGCTGTCTAGGCAAGTTCTCGTTGTGAAGGACGGGTACCGAAACGAAGCACCGTTTCGAATTAAGTGAATCGGTGCTCGATCGGTACTGTGGAATTCGGTCGGTACCTTAAAAAGTACCGAATTCGGTACCCATCCCTAGCTACAGTGTGAAACCTCTACTTCTAAAATAATTTCAGCTCAAAACAAGCTGCTATTTAACAATTATAGAAGTCATTGACACACAGCTGATTTATGTAGGGTAAAGAGTTAACCACTGCACAGACTGGATTTCAGAGGCAAGTGTTGAAGGTGTATCGCATTCGATGGCATCAGATGAAGTGCTGACGAAAGCGTGGCCTAATCCCAAAGATCAATGAGAATAGATAATTTTATATTTTCTCTTTCCACATTTCATGTAAGTATTTTTGTTAATGTGTTTTGTGTCATCTCATTAATTTTCTATGCTGGCTCTTATGTCTCACAGACATGTTGTTCACTGTTAGCAATAAAGTAAAGCCTGCAGTAAAGGGAAAAAACAACGGATTTGTTTTTTTTTTCCTGGAAGAATTCAGGATGTGAACATTGGATGTGGACATGCGGTTTCCAACATAGAAACACTGTGTAAAAATGGTTGATTGCATACGTTTGTGTAGATTGTCAGTCGTCTGATTGTGAGGGGTTAGGTGTAAACATGTTTTGCTTGCAGATACCAGCAAAACTGAAAGACTAGTTTTTATAAAACCAACGATCACCAGTATTCTGAAACCTGGTGCACTTAGACTGACTGCACAGACATTGAGAAATCAAAACATGTATTACTGTTTGACAGAATAATTTCATTTTTTGTCAGATATACCAGTGTTTTGGTAAAGCTAGTGTGCACAGAGAAAGATGTAATATATCTAGAAATGAAAAACAAAATGTGTTTTTGAGAAAAAGAAAAGAACCATAAGGCCAGTTGTGATTTGTAGGTGGGTGTCTGTGATAAGTGTTTATGTTAGTGATTAAAAAAATGTAACTAAGCAGAAAAATTGAGGAAATGTGTGTTTGGTTGATTATTTCTTGTTTATTATTTTTGGCAATGAGGGAGCCCATCTACCTCCAGACCCTTGGTCTCCTGCTGCTAAAAGAATGAATGGGAGTTTATGGGCTCAAACGTTATTTTCTGAACCCGTTTAATGTGTGCCATGGATTTCACATGATGTCCGTGACTGTTAAAGACACATTTCGATACCAAGAAAGCGCTTATTTTTTACAGGCGGCACTAGTTACTTTAGGTTTTGTGGGAAAAGACGTAGAGGATTGCCAATGCTCGTCTCACC